CTGCCCATGCCTACACCTTTGGCTGCCCTTCCACCTTACCACCAGCACTGCCATGGGCACCTGCAGAGAGAAGCAAGGTGGTATCAGAACTGAGGTGGGGGAGCATCACTGTAGCCCCAGCTCGGCATTGCTGAACCCACAGCACTGGGTGGGGACACTGCCAGACCTGTCAGTGCCAGTGCCAAGCCATGCCTACCTGCCCCTGGGCGCTGCCCGCAGTGCAGCTCGCACTCCTCCTTGCTGTCGAAGCGGTTGAGGTTGCCCTGGCAGCCGCTGTAGACGAAGGGCCGGCACTCAGTGACTCTTTGGTTGTAGTACCATCGTAGTGTGTAGCGCTGGCAGTCCCCCTCATCCAGAGGTAGGCTGCAGGGCTCAGCTGTGGGGGCAAAAAGTGATGGTGAGGGCAGGCAGGAGCTGGCAGCCCACCAGCAGTGGGAGGCAGCCAGACCCACTTGGCAGAGGAGGGGAAACACCAGAAGGGGAAGGCAGGGGGTGGCTGATGATGGCTCCCACAGCTCAGCATGGATAGGATTTGGCTGGAGGCAACATCTCTGTGCTCTGCCCAAGTGCTGGGTGTGAGGGCAGGAGATGTTGCTCTGGGCAAGTCCTTTCCCAGTGGCAGTTCCCAGCAAAGGCTGGACATAGAGCTGAGAGGGAGTGGCATGGGGACATGATGGCCACAGCATCCTTTGGAAGCGTTCTGGAGGGACCCTCCACATGGTGATGCTGCCACTGAGGCTTTCCTGCTGTCCCTACTGGCTTTGGGATCCCTTCCTGCAGCTCATGATGAGGAGGCACCGAAAATCTGCTGGGGGCAGCAGGTCCCACCAGCGCAGCAAACCACCCATCTGCCAGTGACAGCTTCAATGAGGGGGACAGAGTGCAAGGTCTGCATGGCACATACAGCACAGTGCAGTGATTGGGAAGGCACAACCCACGTGGGTTTGCAGTGAGAGGGCTGCAAATCCCAAATCCCCACAGCCAGAGGGCACAGGGATCCACTTCCAGGCAGGATATGGAGGCATCACCCCAGCAGAGCCCAGGCAGCCCTGTGGTCTCTCTCAGTAGCTCTATCCTCAGTGCCAGGTGAGCACAGGGAAGCTCACCATCCACTGTGAGCTTCTCCAAGCTGTCCATCTCCGAGATCTCATCATAGTCCTCCTCCTCTTCATACATGCTGTCATACTCGAGGTCATCAGTATCAAGATTGATCTGCCTGTCCTGCCCTGGGAGATAGTACCAGGTGTGAGCAGCCCTTAACATACACACGGAGCAGAATTAAGTGGGATAGGGACGAAAAGCACAGGGATGATGCTCACCCTCCTCTTCCTCAGTGTGTGACAACTTGAGCACAGGCACTGTGTGAGCACTGCCAGAGGGGAATGACTGGGAGGGGAAAATCCCTGTGAGGGGGAAGAACACGGCACAGGCATCAGAGAGGGGATGAGGGAGTCTGTGGCACTTTCGCCTTGCTTCCCAGGGGAAAACCAGCCCTTTCAGGTGTGGAGCAGTCCAGCACTTCCCTGGCACTGCTGAAGCCTGATGGGGTACATGGACAGAGATGGGGGACAAGGGTATCCCCTGCTCTCTCTGAATCACAGTCCAGGGCTGCTGGGGGCATCTGGAGGAGGGACAGGCAGGAGAGGCCCAGGCAGGCAGCACCCACTCGGAGCCCAGCAGGATGGGGATGGGGAAGGGCATAGGGAGGCAGGCATGCCCATGGGGCCATATCTTGTAGGTCCTCTGGGCTCTCCATCACCTGTTTGGCCATGCTCCCTCTCCTGGCGGACGATTCTTCCTCCTCCCTGGGCAGATTGGAAGCTGCTCCTGGTCTGAGCCCCCCAGCCTCCTTGGAGAGAAAGCACCCACCTCATCCCAGCCCACCCCTCGCCTCCATCCCTCCATCCCACTCTTCCATCCCACTCTCTCCTCCAGCACTCCTGACCCCTGCAAGACCCCTGCCCCAGCTCGGACATCAAAGCATGGATGGGCACAGTTCCTGTGGTCCTTTCTCAGGGCAGACCCTGGCAGCACCCAGACCCCACTGGCACCATCCTGAGCCAGCTGCCCCTGCAGATTCCTCACTTCTTCCACACACCATCCCTTCTCCCTGTGCATAGTCCTACACTGATCCTGACCCTGACTGGGAGGTTCATGGAGGGTCCCAGCCACCTCTAGTTCCCCAAAACCAGTAGCAGACCCAGGTGTCAGGACCCTTTCAGTGCCACATGCTTGGAGCGGGGGGGAAGAGAGGAAGAGCTGCAACCTGAGAGCTCACGTGAATCCAGGTGCTGTGGGAAGTGGCTGCCACAGGCTGTGGGAGAGACAGAACAGGTGTCAGAGGCAGCAGGGCCAATCCCCCAGCCCTGGGGAAGCAGTGGGAGATGCTCACCACAGTGCTGGCTCATCTCCTGCCTGACGAAGGCACGGATCTCATCTTCCTGTCGGGCACATGGAGGGGCAAAGGACCCACGTTGCAATGGGGGATGGTGCAATTAAAGAGGAAAACCCCCTTCCTCAGGCCCCAGCGGAGCCTAGAGGTGGGGGCAGCCCCTGCAAATGCAGTGGGATGGATCCAGCACCTCTTCCCACCCTGGTGATGTGAGTGCCATGAGCCTGTGGCAGCTCCCTCCTGGCTCCTTACCGTCATGCCTGGCTCCCCTTTTTCGCCACGGAGCCCATGAGTGCCGGGACTGCCCTAGGGACAGCAGAAAGGAGGTGGGAGGCTGGCCCCAGCTAAGGCTCATCCAGGCAGGGCCAGGCACCCGCTCACCCACCTGCTCTCCTCTCTCGCCAGGGATGCCAGGCACACCGCGCACACCCGGCACTGACTGTCCAGGAGGGCCTCTCTCCCCCTGCAAAGAACACATGCTCAGGATCTGGCTGGTGGTGCTGGAGCCATTCTGCTCCGCCAGCAGCATGGGTGTACTTCTTTCCCCATCCCTGCATGCCAGGGACACCTGTGCAGGTGGGGGATGAGGATGGGTCCAGCCCAGCTCAAGGACAAACAGGGTCCCCAACCCCTCAAGATCCCATCACCTGGGCAGGGGGACTCAAGGGAGGACTCCAAAGCCAGTGAGCTGGCAGGGCAGGGACAGAGCTGGGACCTGACTCCTAAAGCCATGAACACCTCACCCACTCATGGGACCAGGCCCTCCCCTCCTCACAGCTCCCAGAATGAGACCTGCCACCTGTGGTGAGGACTTACCTTCTGACCTTGCATGCCCTCAGGACCTCGTGGGCCAACGTTCCCTGGGGGCCCAGGAGGGCCAGGATTACCATCACTACCCCGGGGACCAGGGCCACCAATAATGCCTGGGGCACCCTGCAGAAGAGCAGAGGGTGAGGCTGGATGTGTCAGAGCCCCCAACCCCAGGGCAGGTGCCATGAGCACCCTCTGACCCCACAGCTGGGCATCCCTGAAGCACCGGCACCGATGCCTTCTTGTAAAGAGTGGGGAACTGGTGTCACTTATAGTTTAGTGACATAATTTAGAGCAGTGCCAAATGACTCTTCTAGGAGCATTGGGCTCTGATGTGCTTCTGACCAAAGCCAAATCCTGGTAAAAGCAGTGCAATGCATCCCGTCCCTTTCCAGCCTGCTCACCCGGTCTCCTTTCTCTCCCTGGTCTCCTTTGGCTCCCTGCTGCCCATCAAATCCCCGGTCGCCCTGCAAAAAGGAAGGGACAGGCAGCAGGTGACAGGCAGCTGGGGACAGGCAGCTGGGGACAGGCAGCAGGGGGCTGAAGTGCCAGCGCTGCTTTTCCCAGCACTGCTCTGTCTTACCTTGGGTCCCATGAGCCCCTCCTTCCCAGGGATGCCTGGTGGTCCCGACAGACCCAGCTCTCCCTGGAGGACAGAGCAGATGTCCATCAGCCCCCAGCCGTGTGATACTATCCCACCCTGGTGTCAGTGCGGTGCTTACCGGCTCCCCTTTCCTCCCTGGCAGCCCTGAGCGTCCCGGAATCCCTGGTTCTCCCTACAGCAGGCAGGAGAGAGGCAGGGTGGTCAGTCCTGCACCCCTCAATGCTCTCCCCAGAGCCACAGGCAGAGGAGAGGACCCCATGACGCTGTTGTGGGGTCAGGGTCCATCCTCAGACATTTCCCTGCTCCCACTAGCTGGCAGAGGGGATCCAAAGGGCCACAGCCTCCAGGCAACATCCAGGCTCCTGCAGCACCTTGAGGGGACGCACTCACCTTCTCACCCTTGTCCCCATTGAGGCCACAGGCACCTTTTATGCCCCGGTCGCCCTGCAAGGATGAGGAGGGGAGTCAGAGCCATGCCAAGCAGGCATTGGTCCTGGCTAGGAGAACACCAGCAGCCAGAGGGGCCAACCCACCTTGAGGCCACGCATGCCCAGGGGTCCCATGTTCCCCTTCTCTCCCCGATCGCGGCCAGGCTGACCCTGTGGGAGAGTACACAGCATGACAGATGTCTGCTCCTGCCCCGCAGTGTGGCAATGGCACCAAGACACAGTTCCTCACCGGCTCACCAGGCTCTCCTGGCGCTCCGACCTCTCCCTGGGGAAGGCAAAAGCATCGGTCAGGGCAGGCAAGGGGAGTGGTGCAACCATGACCCCCCAGCAGTGGGGGGTGCCCAGCTCCTTACCTTCTGCCCACCAGGGCCGCGTGCCCCAGGGAATCCCGTGGAGCCCTTCTCGCCTGGCTCACCCCTCATCCCCTGCAAGCAGAAACCCAGATCAATGCAGGGCAGGAGGGAGAGCTCTGGCCATTGCATGGTCACAGCACAGCTATGGTCACCTCTGAGGCCAGATCTGGCAGCTCCCCTTGCACCACACCAGGGTGCCCACAAGCACCAGCACATGGGGCTCATGCCCTGGTTCCTCTGTCCATTGCCCTGTCAGCAGCCCTCCATGGCCCCCAGTCCCCAGCCCTGCACAAGCTCCCCAGTCCTGTACCTTCTCTCCAGGCATGCCTTGCTCCCCCTTATCCCCTTTGTCCCCTTCTGTGCCTTTCAGGCCACGGTCTCCCTGCAAAGGGAGAAACACAGGGAGAGGTCAGGGGGTGGGAAGAAGCTCAGACACACATCAGGGTGGGGAGGACAGACCCCCCCCGGGGTTAGGGACACAGGGCAGCTGAAGGAGAGAGGACAACGCGCTCTGCAGGGGAGGATCCCTCAGCAGGATGCAGCTCCCCCAGCCCCACCCTCCCAGGGAGACAGGGAGGATAAGGGAAAGGAGGATAGGGACAGTTCTTACCGGCTCCCCCTTGTTGCCCCGTGCTCCGGACGGGCCCTCTACCACCACAGTATCTCCCTGTACACCCAAAGAGGAGAGAGAGGTGGGGGTGAGGGGGAAGGCCAGGGCTATTGCCCACCCTCACACTGCCCTCACCCCAGGGACTCACCTTGTCTCCTTTGGGTCCCG